TCTTGACAATATCCCTCTTAAACATATTGCTCTCTTAATTATATATAGAATAGCATCTGATGTTTGAATAATCCAGTAGAAATGCAGTAGAGAAAAGCAGCCTATTGATTGAAGCTGATATTTTATTCTGCTTATGATCGTTCCACAAGGCTTTCCCCGGACCCCCTGAGCCACCAGGCTGCTTCCAGACATTTATGAAATGTCGGGCTAGATTGAGCTTGAGATTTTGTTTTATAACCTCAAAGTTTCAGGATCTTTAAACAGGTGGAGCAGAAATTTTTCCATTTTTTTTTCCTTATCTCCCCAAGGAAACATTAGAAACCAATATTTTCCTGAAATATTTTTAATACAAACATCCCACTTGTGACCACGAATGAAAATCAAGGTGAAAACAATCAGAAACCGCCTACTCTAGTTTTCTTGTCCAAACTAAGAGTGAGCCTTTAATTTGAAGTGGGGGAGGTAGGTGCTTTTGAAAGCCCCACGAGGTCTCTGTTGTTGAGCTCCTCTTCAGAATCTAGCTCTTAGGTTTTTTTTTCTCCCCCAGGAAATCGGGGTAATAGTATTTCTCTTCCACACTGGATTTTGCTAGGATAAATACCTTAAATTGTGAGCTGCTCAAATGCTGCAAGAATGGGAGCCAGATAAACATCACATCTAGAAATAATATGCAAGTGACCCAGTCTCTTCTAACCTAACCGTTTCCCAGCTCGGAGGGGAAGGAATGCTCACGGGCTAATGTTTGCATGGACAAGGGAGAGAAACCAACCCCAAAATAGATCTCTGCATTTTCCCATTGCCTTGAACATTTTTGCAAGAACAGATTGCCTGAAATAGCTGCCATAATACATTTTTAGGTTTCAGGCTATGGAGCTGAGGGAACCGGTTTTAATATCTACATCATCTCCTCCTTCCTCCTGGGACTGGAGCTGGTTACCATAGCAAAACTGCAAGGAAACTGATAAGCGTGTAGTACCATTTGGCAAACAGAATATAAATTCATTTTATTAAGCAGACAAAGAGCCGTGGAAAAATTAATGAGATAGAAAATCTTTAATTTTGTTGTTTTTTAAGACACCTGTGAATAAAGTGATTTTAATCAAATCCTGAATAAAGTACCAACATACTCTTTCTGCCCACACAGTATTTCCCACGTTACTTTATGAGCAACTGATGAACTGGGAGACCCAAGAGAAATGCTTCTGAAGCAAAGTGCAGATTGTTTCTTTGAGCAGCAGGAGACTAAGCATCCAGCCTTTGCAGAGCTTTGGTATTTTAAATGTTAGGTTATAGTTGTGTCTCCTTTATGTAAGGTGCCATAGCCATGGGAGATAATTGGTGGGGGAGTAGCATTGCTGAGAAGGATCAGGGGGGTTTGGTGGACCACAGACTCCACATGAGTCAGTGTGATGCATGCAGCTGCAAAAAACACTCAAATCCCTTTGTACAGGAGGTTGGACCAGATAACCATTGAGGTCCCTTCCCATCCCATACTTCTAGGATGACAAAGTTTTGATGAGCTTTCATTTAGCTGAACAAATACTGACCTGCAGCCTCCTTTTGTTTTTTCTGCATCCTGAAGTGTGAACTTCAATGACTAATTGATAAGACAGGCTCAGAAGTCCTATAGGTTTGTCCAAAATGAGGTCCAGTGGGTGCTCAGCACCTCAAAATTCATCATTTCTTTTTATATATCATATCTACTTTGATTCTTGAATTGAGCTGATTATGCTGGTCACTGTATCCGTGATTAGGATTAGATGCTATGGACAAGGCAGCTGTGCTCCTTATGGCACTTAGGTTGCAATGATATCTATGCAAGTGGGCCCAAATAACTTCTGTGGGACTCTTTATTGGCAGGACTGAGGTTTTCCTCTTCACTGTGCAATGGGTAGACTCCTGTTGTATTCTCTGAACAGGCCTTAGCTGCACATTGAGTCTGCTGCTTTCGGAGGTGTAAATTTATTGACCACAGGAGATTTTACTCTGCGTTTACAGTAGTGTAGATGCAAACAGAATTAATGCCCCTCTAGAAGATGAACTGCATGGCACGTACTTGTCTGTGGGGTTCTGTCACCTTTTGCTGTTGCTCAAATTGTGGTACGCATGCTGGATTTTTGCAGTGTTGTATGATCTTGCATGTGTAAAAGTCACTGCATTGCTAAGGGTCTGTGGGAACTAAGGGTTTGTATCTGTCAAACTTGTAGCATCTGTCACGGGTCGGCCAGAGATGGCCGACCCGTGACAGATGCTACAAGTGGCGCACAGCAGACTGGGGAGGGGGCAGGCAGCACAGTGGCAGATAGATAGGCTAGAGAACAGAAATCAGAGCATTAGATCAGGAACCAGAAAGCAGAGCAACAGTGCAGGGAGCAGAAAGCTGAGCAGTAGATCATGTGTAGGGGAAGGGGATCGGTGGCACTCGGGGAGGGTGAAAGGCTACTTTGTGGCATGCCTGCCAAAAAGGTTGGCCCCCAGTGGTTTGTATTATGGTGCACAGTGTTAACAGCACAGCTTAGAAAATACGCCCTGTTCAGTCAGTCAGGGCTTATCCGCATATTTGATTTGAGGTGTGTGCCCAGCACTGCTTTGCCTCAAGCTAGTTAGTGCTACTTGAATGATAGCTACATAACTACTACTTTTATTTAAATTGGGAACCACACACTGAGAGATGATATGTGGGCAGGGAGGGTGCATCTTCATAATGGTGCTCCTGAACATGTTTCAGCGCACTGTAGAAATGTCCCACGTCTCTTATAGTACTGCACGTTTAAAATGCTGTTTATAGTATTGTTCTTGTTCTCTGAAGTTTAATCAAATTACACAATCTTTTTAGGAGCAACTGGGGAAAAAATAAGATCTTGTCCTTTCTTTGGATCAAATCCTAGCAAGTTCAAGGGAAGCAATATAACTGTACCATAACTGGTCCTCAAAGACTATATTTCTGCCATAAGTTGGGAGCTCCTCAATTAGAAATGATAGAGGAAGACCTGGTTGTTTTTGCTGATTCTGGAATAACTTTGAACAACCAATGTGATTTGGTCATACAAAAAGTTTTGTGCAATCTTTCAGGGATGTGTTTGGTAGCCATGTTGGTCTAAGACAAAAAGAAATACAAAAAATGAATGTATTGGACAATGTGGAGATTAGGAAATATTAACACTTGGTACAAGGCACTGAGAGACCTCCTCTGGAATATGTTGTACAATATTAGCTATCCATGCTCAAGAAAAATGAGTTATAATTGGAACAGGTGCGGAAAGTGATTAATTAAAGGAACGGAGAGCTTATTTTACAAGAGGAGTCTAAGACAGGGGCTTGTTCACCAAAATGAAGGCTAAGCAGGGGGCCGCTGTATCTCTAACTACATCATGGAGATAGAAGTTAGAGACGGAGAAGAGTTATTTATACTAACATTGCCTTTTTGGCTTTTGTACAAATGGGTCTGAACTGGATATGAATAAAGTAATTTGGCTGGAAATTAAGAGGATTTAACCATCAGAAGAGTGGGGTTCTTCCTGGGAGGAGGACAGGCACAAAACCTCATCACATTTAGAAAGTAGCTCTATCAGTTTATGCAAGTAATTCTGTATGATGTGGTTGTCCTCACTGGCACAAAGCTGGATTTGATGACCCAAGAGATTCCTTAGAGGCCTGTGTTCACTCTTTCTGGCTGTAGACATTGCACAGGTAGTACGCTTGCTTTGAGTGTAGGTGTGTTGCCATCTTATGGCTAGCTGGCAAGGAGGATAAAGCCTACCACTCCCAAGACTGCTGGTCTTCAGCTGAAGAGCTTATAGGGACTTGGACCCAAAAGACCAAGACTCCCATCCCCAGGATGGGGAGCAAGGTTATTCGTTAAGTAGTTCCCTGCAGTCTACATGTAAATTCTACATGTTTTAATATGTAAAGCATCCCTTAGTACTTGTTCATGTCACAGTATAGCATCTCAAAAAAGATCGCTCTGTGTTGGGGTTGGAGTCACCAGTCTGAGCGCTCAGCTCTCACTGCTGGTTCCTGAGGTTGACATCCACCACTTGTACCAGAATCTGTCTCTATCTTCAGGGTGATATAGGTGATATTACTTTGGAAAGTTTGCTCTCAACTGTTTTATAAAAGCAAAAAGAGCTGTACTCCAAATGTTCATGCCTACAAGATACAAGTCCACTATTTTTCCTTAGAATTGGGGGCTGTATCCAAACAAGTGTAGCTCACAGCTGTCTTGAGGATGCAAAAGTACACTTTTACTTCTGTAAAGAGCTAGTGCTTTTGTATGGTAACTAGTAGAACTTCTCTGAGAAATTACCAAACTTCAACAAAGTTCGGTTTTTAAAGTTCAAGAAAAACCTTCCACTTTTTTTTTTTGTAGGGGGGGAAGGAGGGAATTCAATTAGTTTGTTTTCAGACCAACAGAATATATGTAATCCTTTTATTAGAAAATGTCATCAACAAAGCCATTTGTCTCTTCAGTGAAAATCCTATTCATCATTCAACATCTGTTTAAAACCTAAAGTCGGATAAAGGCAATCTCAGTTTTTGTAAGCAACTGATGTACGTTAGCCCCTTTAAAATAGTTGCAGTATTGCAATGTAAGAGTTAATGCATCCTTCTATATATTTTTCACAGCACACATGCAAGTATATACAATGGTAGGAAGTATACTTTCCATCAGATTTGTCTTCATAATTCTGGCTAGGTCAGATTATATTGAAGCCTTTTTATAAATCACTGCCACCATAGCTTCAAGACACTGGATTACTGCTAACAGAAGGAAAATGCCTATGTCCATATCTGAGGCAGTAAACCATCTAAGGTAGTGCATTTGAGGGGAGGTTTATGACTTTATACTTCTAAGAGCAGAGAAGTAAAATGCACTGAAATTAAGGACACTAGGTTTGTGTTGGATGTGGAATAATTCAAGTGCCATGCCAAGCTTTGACTAGTTCTTTGATTGGAGATGGCAGGTTTCCAAAATGTAACTGCACGTTTCTCTCTTGCAGCTTGTCTCCAATGTTCTCATCTTCTCCTGCACAAACATCGTAGGTGTGTGCACCCATTACCCAGCAGAGGTGTCCCAAAGGCAAGCCTTCCAGGAGACCAGAGAGTGCATACAGGCCAGGTTGCATTCTCAGAGGGAGAACCAGCAGCAGGTAAGAAAGGGATGGCGACTTGTGATTGTAACTGCTGACTGGGGGAAATCAATTTGAGATGTGTTCCTTCAGGGCTGGGTACCAGCTGAGAGGTATGGTAGGGCGGGAAATGTGGAGATGTGGAAAAGGGCTCTGGGGAAGCTTTGTGCTCAGCTATGCTTAATAATATGTCCGGGGAAGCTAACGGCATCCCACTGTTTGTGCTCCACAGAGGAAATGCATTGCTTGCACAGAAGCTGTGTATGCTCTGTACTGCACTGGCGCAGTCCCAGCTAAGCTGTACACTAAGCGGTTATGGGACACGTGGGCCTGGTGCCGGCCTTCTCGCTGCTGAGCACAAATTGCACTGTGTTTTCAGCACAGCTGGTGGTAGTTGGGTCTCTAAAGAGGTTTTCGTGTCAGTGTCTAATATTCCTGTGTGCTTGTACTCCAGTGGGCACATACCTGATGAATGCCACCATATACAGTTCAGCTAAAGCCTCTTTATATTGTTTTTATTTAATTCATCAGCCACTTTATCCTGTGTATTATTGTTTGCTCTAAAAAGGCCTAACTGCCAGCAGCCCAAAGGCAGCGAGCACATCCTCCCTCCTTCGTTCTTTGGTCTTCATGCAATGAGTCTCTTGTGCCCTGATAATTAGAGAGGGAAAGACCTTTAGAGTCAGCGAGGTTCTCTTGCTAATATAGGATGATGCCCTGCAGTAAATTTCAAGCACTCTGTGCAATCCAGTTTTAAATGACTTCCAGAAGGGGCCTTCTGTGGCATCCATGAGAAGTACCTTGGAGCCTTGATTTGTGAGTCTGGGGAGGAATGAATCAATTGAAATGGATTTTTCTCCCTGGTTAGTGCAACTGAATCTATCCTTCTGTTTTGGTGTCTGTGTCCTCATCTGCAGATGAGGTTGTGTCTTATTCAGTATTTTTGCCAGTATGGGCAGTGCTTAACCCATGAAAGAACCTGTGTATATGTGTGTATATGCATACTTTTATTCATTTTGATTTCTGATATGTAAAAATCTACTTATTTTCAATCTGTAAGCATGTTTCATGTAAACTAAAAGTACGGTTTCAGTGGGCATGTCTACATGTACAATTAATGTGAAGCAATAAACTCTGGAGCTTATTGCCCTGGAGTTTATTGCTCCTGGATGCACCATTTGAACAGGCACTCGGGACTGCAGCACATTGAACTGGGTTGGAGCAGCCCTGGCTGGCAGGGGACCCGGGGATTAGCCTGCCAGCCCAGGGCTGCTTACCCTTGGCTCAGCATGCTGTGGAGTGGCTGGCTGGGGCATGAAGATGCTTCAGTGCGGGGCTAGCCAGCAGAGTTAGCCAGCCCCTACACTGAAGTACCCTTGTGTCCCAGCCAGCCAGTAGAGCTGTGTGAAACAGCACCGTTCTGTTTTGACTTGAGTTTTGAGGTTTTGACGGAACAGCGTTTCGTTTTTCATTTCATTTTGATTTGAAACAGCTGTTCCATTTTGCTTCTTTGAAACAGCGAGCCTGTTTCGATGCTGTTTTGACGTTTCGCCCATTCGCTATAATGGGTAAGCTTGAAACAGCTTCTCTCATCTGGCAGGAAGATGGGGGCCCGCAACCCCAGGAGGGCTGCGGGGGCTGTGCCAGTCCTCCCGGGTCTGCGGGCCCCCGATCTGCCTGTCAGATGAGGGAGGGAAGCTGGGTGCTGCCGCCTGGGACTGGAGAGCTGGGGAAGAGAACTGAACCCAATCGCTCAGTTCCCCTCTCCAGTGCTACAGTCAGGTTGGGGAAAGGAACTCAGCCCAGCTGAGCTGAGTTCCCATTCCCAGCACTAGGTCAGGCTGGGGATGGTGCTATGATTGGGTTACTACAATGTCCCTGATTCCTGGAGTTCAGCTTGGAACCCAGCTGGGCTGAGTTCTTCTTCTTCTTCTTCTTCTTCTTCTTCTTCTTCACAGATGAGTAAGTTAAGACAGAAGTTCATTTTATGCCAGTCATTTAAAAAGTCTCTTGCCAGTTCTACCACAGAGCTTTGGTCTCCTGATCATGTTGCTATGCTGTGAACATGTAATCCAGCCTCCTGACCACATGCACACAAGAGTGTCACAGGTTACTACAATGTCCCTGATTCCTGGAGTTCAATTTGGAACCCAGCTGGGCTGAGTTCCCCTCCCCAGCCCAATCATAGCAGTTGGGGAGAGGAACTCAGCCCAGCTGGGCTGAATTTCTTTACCCAGCCCCATCTAGCACTGGGGATGGGAACTCAGCTCAGCTGGGTTTCCGTTGTTTGTTTCCCTTTGTTTCCGTTGTTTGTTTCCCTTTGTTTCAGTTCAATTTCACTGTTTCGAGCTTGAAATGAGTCAAAACAGTGTCAAATCGAAACAGCCGGCAAAATTTCAAACAGCCCTACCAGCCAGAGCAGCATCTACACGTGCACTGCTGCGAAGTAAAAAAACTCTGCTGCAAGATAGTACCTGTACAAATACTTGTACTAGTCAGCTGTGGAGTTAATTAGCTTGCACCAGCCTAATAGGGGCACATATGTAGATGCATGACATTTTACTGCAGAGCTAATTAGTCTACTCTGCAGTAAATGTCTTGTGTAGATGCACGCAGTGAAGTGGAACCTGCAGCCTGTTCTCCTGCCTAAACCCAAAATTAGCAGGGGAAAAAATCAACCCAAGCATTATGTCCACCTCTCTCAAATGCCACATACCAGCCAATTTGTTCCTCCCTTCCCCAAAATCTTGTCCAACAGATGGGTTTTACGGACTGTCTTGAAGGGTTATGCTGCTTCAGACTGGATCGGTTCCAAAGATGAGGGGCTGCAGAGTGGGTTTGATTTAAATCAAATTGATTTCAATCACGATTGAAATCACTGGTCAGAAAGCCTTGATGTAATCGTTGTTTTCTACAAAAAGTGCATTCTTGCTGTTTGATATAACCTTAATACATATTATTCACAACTCAAAGATAGATGTAGGTTTCATTATTAGAAGGTACAAACTATACATTTTAAAGTAGTGATTTATTTTTCTATTTTTTCAGATTTAATTTTGCAGCTACATCAGAAAACTCAATTACGGTTTGATTATTTTATTTACCAAAGCTGATCAAAGCAGATATTTGTGATGTCATTGGGACATGAACTAAGCCTGCCACCATGATAAGTCTTTCCTTCTACCATGCCATTTCCTCATTAGATCTCAGATCAGCGGACAGGCTGCACTTAGAAATGTATCCCTCAAGACTTCAATATTTTGCACAAAGTGTTTCTCTCTTGTTTCTACTGCCCCTCCCTCCTTGCCTTTGTCTCCAGACTCCCCGTCCTTGCCCAGGTCTACTCCACCCCAACCATTCTCTATTCCAGGGGTCGGCAGCGTTGTTGGGCTGAGTGCCAAAAAAACCCACAGCCTGGACTTGAAAGATGTTGGCATGCCAGGGGCAGATGGCGGAGGAGCCGCAAGGAGCCCAGTCCTTGCCACTTCAGCACAGCCCCTGCCCCTTCCCTGCCATGCTCCCTGAGGTGTGTGTTCAGTGACTGCCAGCAATGAGCCGGGCCAGGGCTCTAGACCCCTGTCTGCTCTGGGCAGGCCCCAGCTGCTCACCACGAGTCCAGGCTGCTCACAGCTGGCAGGTGCAAGCCTGCAAGCGGGTGCACCGCAGTCCAGAGCCCTGGCCTGGCTCGTTGCCAGCAGTGACTGCACACATGCCTTAGGAAGCATGGCAGGGAAGGGGCTGGGGGAATCTCAACACACCTCATCTAACCTGGAGCTTCCACCCACCCCGCTCTTGGCCCTCGCAGCCTAATACCCTGTAATGCCACTTCACTGACCCAGGTGCACCTCCCAAGCTGTGCATGTGGCAAGGGCAAGCCCTGAGGCACAGAGATGGTACAGTACTGAGCTCACCCAGTCAGTTCAGTCGAGAGTCCTAGATGATCTCCATCCTAGATTTCTGAACAAGTTGGCACATGAATGTGCAACTCTGGTTGCAATGCTTTTAAATGAATCTGTCAAGTTGGGGATTGTACCCTATAACTAAGCACTGACAAGCTGGTGCTAGACCAGTTTATGAAAGAACGGCGTGATCCCTGTAATAGCAGGGGACCTGACTTGATGACCCAGAAGTCCCTTCCAGGCCCACGTTCCTGAAGGAGAACTGGCAGTGCCCACATCCTGTGTTTGGCCAGAGGGCTTGGTTTCCCAATGCTGTCAATCAGCACTTTTGACAGGCAGTAAAAAAGTGGCATGCTCTTTAGTTCATTGCTCGCCTAAACAGGAGTCAGTGCAGCACAGATTCATAGATGTTTGGGTCAGAAGGGACCTCAGTAGGCCACCTAGTCCGACCCCCTGC